CCCTGATGATCTGGCCCATTCTACTACAGCACTAAATGTCTTTAAAGTGTGTGCTGCAGAGTGCCCACGCAACAGGACTCATTTCGCTCTTAAATGCAACATTTGCTTTCTGCTATATCCCTAGGACGTTTTAGAAATGTCCAATTGGAGGGAAGAGTGGCCAAATTGTTTCAATTGTTGACATTTTACTCTGGAGCTCAAGTTGATGATATCACTGATTTGGGAGCGAGGTGGAATGCTTGACCTGTTTGTTTTTGGGTGGGGGATAGTATTTCTCAGCTAATTTCCCTCTGATAAGTATCTGACAACACATAGTGTGGTACATTATCTACGACTGAGGAAAATGGTTTCTTCAAAGTGTGAATTGATTTTACTGGATGCCTGTGTGATGCGGCACTTCAAAATGCTTACTTTTTTTTTTTTTTTTTGAATAAACCCATTTTTTGCCATCTCTATTTGTATGTAAATGATCAATTATTGCTTTTGGCAGGGTTCTGCCACCCGACTCATGTCTGTAATGAGGAAACTGTACTATTTCACCTTAACAAATGATGTTTACACTCCTACCCCCACTTCCATTCGCAATTATCAACTGTTTGCACTGCTGGCTACATTGATTTTTTTTTTCTTTTTTTCTTCTGCATGTCTTGACTCAACACTTAGTAGTCAGTTTAAATTGAATTGTGGGTTTGTTATGTTAAAATTACAATATTTTATTTTTTTTCCAAAATGAATCTTAAATTTTAGGACTATTACATGCATACAGGAGTGGGTCGTCTGCTGCGGTGTTTAGAGGTTGGAGGGGGGTCACATTTTAAAGGCAAATAAATGAGATTGAGAAGGTGTTTGAAAGTTGTACTTTTAGCATGGATGTTCATGTAAAGTCAAGGGAACCACATCTGATTTAAAAAGGTCATAGTAATCATTTCAATATTATATATTATATGTCAATATATAAACACTCTTAATTTTAGCATTATGTAAATTAGGAAAGCACACATTTTTTAATTTTACACAAGTGTAGTATTATTGCTAAGAGCTGTTAGATGTAACCACTATTATCATTGTCATACTTATTATTATTATTATTATCATCATTATTGTTGTTGTTATTACATTTAATGAAATCCAAATATTGTACATTCACTGAAAAAAATTATGTCTGCAAAATTGTTGCAAATAAATTGTTGAGTTCAAACAAACAAATTAAATTGAGTAATGTTCAACTTAATTAGTTTGTTTAAATTCATCCCAAATAAATAGTTTACAACCACTTAACTTAAAAAGAGTAACTCCAAGAAAGCATCTTTAAAAATTTTTTCCACTGTTGTTGTATATTTATTATATATTAGTTTAGCAATGTCTAAATAACATAACTGTCCAGGACTGATAACACAGGCGTTTAAGCAGTTAAAAAGCACTTGTACAATGTTTGTAAATGAAAAATGACTCCAATTTGAACACTTTATAAAGAGTGATCACAAAGCATCAACACTTTTTTTTTTTTTTTTTTAAAGCACATGCAGATGCTCTGTATCAGCAAAAGCTCTGATGCTTCAGATAATCCATCTCAGTTTTAAACACATTTCTTTTTTTGAGTTTTTTAAGTTTTTTTTTTTTTCCTCGAAACTCACCCAGAAACAGTTGATACTCAATATCGGTTTGATTTGCCTTAGCTCCGTTTTCTCTTCCTAGATCTGCATGTGAAAGTTGATTGCAGATATGCACCAAATTTTCCACTACATTTATTTTCTCATGAATGTTTGCATATTTCAGTGATTGCCTTCTAGTGGATTCAAATATGCAGAAATGGCAATCTTCCTCTCCTGGAATGAAGCATGTACTCATTTCACAGCCTCTAATTGCGTTTCCGTAAAACGGTCAATTGTTCCACTTGCACAAAGACTAAAGTAGATGCTAAAGTAGAATCCTCGCTCTGATCATTCGTATTGATGTTAGTTCACTCACACCCACAAAAAAAGGATTTCTTGAATCTGTTGAAGTTACTTTCGGAATTTGATTACCTCCTTAAGTTGTGACTTTTGTCAGAGCATTGTATGGTTAACTATGTTGCTTTTTAATTGCTATTGTTGTGTTTCTACAGTGTCTGGTTAGCATTTTAGTACTTAAAATAACATATTGTAGTATTTTTTTAAATGGATATTTAGTTAAATGTCTGTGATTAACACAGAGATATCTTCACATTTTGTTCTAGAACATAAAGTACATGAGTAATATCCTTCATGATTCATATTTATTTTTATATGCATGGAAAAGCTTGTTGCTTAATATGCCTTAATAAGGCTACAGAGGTTGTCAAGGACAATAAATGCTATAACACTAAAGAGTTGTGTGACAAAAAAAAACGTTTTTTGAATTATTATGGAATTTCTTTTAAATAATGACTGCAAAAGTTGCCAGAAGTCATGGTAACCAAAGTGTTGTTTGCTTAACATGTTGTTGGTCACTTTATTTCTGTGATTAATCTAATACAAAAACCCTCTTGGGTTTTTGAAGAGGGAACCAAGGTTATACTAACATCCAGAATGACCTACAAACAAAACTCATTAATATAATGATTTTCATTTTCCACCTGTTAACATGGATTTTCTGTTATCCATTCAGAAGTGGTCAGCCATACCTTTTCTTAACCAGCACTCAAATGCATCTTTTACATTCAATTATTCAACCAAGCATCTACTGCATATTACTTTTTAGGCTCTGTACCCTCCATACCTTCAGGAATACTTTCAAAACGCAAATTGTTTCATTGAGAATGGCATTTTAAATCTATGCACTTGGCCTGAAGAGCAGCAACTTCCCTCTTTAAGCCTGATTTATACTTCTGCGTCAAACACCGGCGTATGCTACGGCGCTGACGCATAGCCCTTCGCCGTGGCCATCGCCGTCACTGACGTGCACCCCTCAAAAAATGTAACTACACGTCGCAACGACGCGTAGCATAAGCTCTGTGATTGGTCGGCTTGGTAGCGCTGACGAGTCTGGGCAGGACCGAGAGGCGCGCGAATGGCGCGACGCCGCGCGAGCGATTGTTTACAAGTGTGGAGTCCCGTGAAGGAGCTCCGGATGGAAAGTTTTGTTTTGTGTTTACCTCATAGTTAAAGTTGTTGCACGTCCGCCGGTTCCTGCCTCAAAATGAGCGAGTTTGAGCCACTTGTACACCCCGGAAGTGTTCAGGAAATGCAAAAAAGTAGCGAAGAAACTTGACACAGAGGAACATTTACACCTCACTGCCAACTAGCGTTTCGGAAGTGTTAATGCAGACCGGCAGAGACAGCGCGCAGAAGTATAAATGCACAGCCACGCGCGTTGCCTGCGCCGTGGGTTACGCCGGTCACCTGACGCAGAAGTATAAATCAGGCTTTAGGGTGGTCTCATTCGGTGCCTGTAGACTAGTCGTCCTCTCGGATGTTGCATTTCCAGACTAGTTAGTCTATCCTCGTATGATTTCATATCTGAAGTTACCGCCGTTAGTGAGTTGTGCACCCGCAGGGATGATAATTATTTTCGGAACTCAGCTGTGTGCGTGTCAAACTTTTGGTGAGTTATGTTTTCCAAAGACATGATCGCTGCCATTATTGTAGCCCCCTTAATCATATTTGTTTTGTCTTTGGCCATCTTTGTGGACCTAATAGAGCTCGCCAAATTAGTCTTTTTCTGATGCATGACTTTCGACATCAAGGTGCAAGGTTCAGAAATAGTCCACAGAACAATTCAACAGCTGCAACAATAAAGCAGTAGTGTAACTATGTATTTAGTAAATTTAAGAATTAGTTTGCAGAGCTCCTGACTTTGTGACATCACATGGCGGATCCTAAATCTGAAGTCTCCATTTACTGTTTATTACAACAGCAGTTCAATCAAATACATTTTCAACTACCTCTGGAAGTGGAAAGGCTCAACACTTTTCAAACTTGCTTATACCTGTATTTATTGTCCTTAACCTAACCTCTTCTTCAGTGTCTGACAAGTCCAAATGATGTGCCTTATGATGGTGATGTGAATTCCATTTGGGAATCCAAATGAGGTCCATAAAACTGCTTGGAAACAGTTGCTTGAAGAATTTAGAAGCTTGGCTCTTCTCCATACGTCTTACTTTTGCAATTTGACCAGCACAACGGAGACTCAGTGTTCCTGTGTTTGGGGCAGCGCTGCACATCGCCATCCGCCGATCCTGATTTCAGCAGCTTAGAACATATGTGTATCATGCTCATCGAGATGTGGTGATCGGCCATCCAATCCAGTTAGCAGATATCTGAGCTGGGTACGATGAGAGGGCCCTGTCATTATCACTTGCACATTCATGCCGCACATTACCGTCTGACCTTCCCGTCGCTGTCACTCAAAATCCGGCACCGGTTCCCTGTCACAGAGTGGACGTCCATGCCAAGAAACCAAAGATTCTCCACCCCTATCACTTATACAGGGTTAATCGCTGCTTAATTGGCTTACCTGGCAACGTGCGATCACTTGTGAGGTCGGTAAATTAGATTTGGTGTTGACAGATAACGCTCTACATGTTTATGGTGCTTTCGCAAGAACACAAAGCATCGCTGTGCCTTTTTTACCCTCCGTTTCACTCTGTCCTTACCTCTAAACAAACTGTGAAGGAGCTCGCCCATCCGTTCAGGAAACGTATCGTATTAAAGCATGGTAACTGTTATATGTAATGAATTTTGGATTAGGAGCGACAAAGCGTCTCTGTGGTAACCTTTCAGAAGGACGCAGTTTATAGCAGGACTCTACTCCCAGACACCCCAGGGTGGCTGCGTTTAGATGTCACTCTTGCTGAAAACTCCCCTGCGCAACACAAACAAAACATGCCTTACCAGACCTGTGTGGGACACATCAGTAGAGCGGGAAATGTCAGATCGTCAGGGGTGTGCGTGTGAAGTGAATTACTCTGTTTGGAGAACGGCCCTGGGAGGATACTCTAATTTCAAGCTGAAGGTGTAACGTGTCTTTTTCTTTGTTCGCAGGTGCGGTGGACCCTAGTGTAGACTGGAGCTCGCGGAGGGACCTTCCCCACGGACTATATGCAGGGAGGGGAGGGGGAGGGGGGGCTGCTGACGTTTCACCCCACCTCCAGAACACACAGGTCGGCATGCTTTAAAATCTGATATGTTGCTTTTTAAAAAAACGTCAGTCATGTGCCTTTTAATGTTCTATATCATACTAACAAACTCTTCAGTAAGGCCCAAACATAGCCTTTTATTATATGTGTAATTAATAAATGTGCTTTATTTATTTATTATATTTTTTCTGCTTTGACAGTTCATCACATTTTAAAAGCTGATATGCCTGTTTGAATAATATAAAAGAAAAGAAAAATATAATTATTTAGTTATAAGTGATATACACTACCTGACAAAAGTCTTGTCGCCAATCCTAGTTTTAAAAGCAACAAATATCATTTGGAAATGTGGCAGAAGGTAGATTTTACCTATGAATCATCTGTTGAACTGCATCCCAATCATTACAAATACTGCAGTAGACCTATTGGAACCCGCATGGACCCAAGATTCTCATAGAAATCAGTCAAGTTTGGTGAAGGAAAAATCATGGTTTGGGTTACATTCGGTATGTGGACGTGCGAGAGATCTGCAGAGTGGATGACAACATCAACATCTTGAGGTATTAAGACATTTGTGCTGCCCATTAAAAAACACAGGAAAGGGCAAATGAACATTATTGAGCATGTCTGGGTTAAGTTGGAGGATGCATTGTAGATGAATACTGAGTGTCTTGGTGAACTCTGGGAGTCCCGCAAAAAAGGTTTCTGTGCCCTTCCAGATGACTTTATTAATAAGTTATTTGAGTCACTGCAGAGATGTATGGATGCAGTCGTTCAAGCTCATGGGAGTAATACTCGATATTAATTGTTTTCCACTGCACCACTTCTGATACTAAATGACCAATTAGAAGTCAAGTTATTAGTTGTTGTCTCTTAAACTTGGATAGGTGACAAGACTTTTGTTAGGTACTGTATATTATATAAAATGTTTTTGTTTATTTTAGAGCCTTTAATTTTAAAAACAACTATGAATATGAAATGAGGTTAGTACTTTTGTAATACGTGTTATATTTTTGTAACTCGCCCTTAAGTATATTTATTTGTTTATATAATTTTTATAATGTTTATTTACTGCATCATCGTTTTATTTTGCATTTGTTTGCTTGTGAATTGGGGCACTGTTATCCTAACAAATACATAGAAAAATTAGATGAAATAGTGATGTAATGGTTCAAGTTCATGCACAGTATCTATTTATTTGTCATTTGTGATGCACTATGTGATGATTTGAGCAATCTTTGTACGTCATTCTTGATATTAGCTTTGAGCATTAAAACTAAATCTCGTTTGACCCCTAGTATACCCCCTCGTATTGACGCAAAAATGTTGATAAGGAGATTTCATATGGTGTCCATGAGCGTATGTAAATAACCCCCTTTGTCTCAAAACGCATGTCAAATCAGCAAACGGTAACAACATTTCAAGCAGCTTAGAACAAAGTGCGTAACATCTGGATAATATTTGACCTTTGCACATCGTCCTCTGTATTGGCAGTGGGTCATTCTCATTCTCTGCCATAAGCTGTGAGATGTTTACATATCCTGTGTGATTATGCCTTTTCATGAGAGCATGAGGGAAACATGCTGGCTTGATTTGGCCAAATTGGAAGCCTGTGTGTAATATAGTCAGTGCAGAGCTAGGCTGGATGGACGTCTGGTAGTGTTTATGCGCAGGGTAGCTGCATCTGCACACGGCCCCGTCCTGCGGATGCCTCGTACCCTCAGGCCTCCAGCACCTGCATAATGGAACAACAGAGAAGAAAGAGAGGGGAAATGGATCAAATGACAAGGGCTTGGGTTTCTCACTTCAAATGTTTCTTGTTTTTTTGGCTCACACCAGGAAAATATTTCAACGACCTCAGAGAGTTATGCATCGATATGATGGAGCGGCCTTGTCGCAGTTTCGTAAACATTTGTCTTCTTGCGTGTTTGGCTCTTCTTCTCAATGTCGCTCTCAGAAATTCATGGAGGGAAACAGATTTCTCTGAAAGTTTCACTGTCTTGCCTTGCACAATTATTTAAAGAGGGTATCAGGAAACTCAGATTTCTGACATGTTTAAGTGCTATAATTGTGTCCCTGGTGCATCTGCCAACCCAGAAAATGTAAAAAAGGAGAACTCAGTAACTTTGTTTTAATAAGCCTTTTTCTGCAAACGTGAAAACAATGCTTTCAGATTTCTCTCCCCTAGTGACCAAAGCTTTCTCAGAATAATCCCAAAAACACTCAACGTCTGTGAACTGTATAAACACATTTATTGTCAGACATTTTATGTTTTCTGTAAAGATAATTATATTCTTTTTTTTTTAATATTAAAATATTTTTTTGTAAAGACCACATACTGGAGAAGTGCAGCAACATGCTAGTCCAATAGTTTAATCAGTGGATCTCCAACTGCATAAATGTAGTTACTAACCATTCAGAAACATACTGGTTCAATCTGAAAGTTGTAACCTCTCACTGTCCATCATTGCCTTTGGTTGAACATATAAGGGCCGGGACACACCAAGCCAATGGTTGGCCATTGGATAGTTGGTTTGGTATGTCCCACACGTTGCATCTCGTTGGGTTAACATCGGATCACATTGGCCTGATTCAGCATGTAGAATTGGCATCAGTCTGTCACATGAAGAGAGTGCTCTGGTTTTTCAGAAATTAACCAGAGCACGAGTATGACATAGTGAAGTGATGTAGAAAGTGAACGATTCAAATCAAGAAGGATCACAATAGCTACATGTGCTACATTTTTCACATTTTTCGCAAACAATATGGATTATTAGATAATCAGACATATTTGGACGAGCGAATCCCTCAGTGGTGAGTGACAATAGAGCGTACGCTGAGCTGGTGTTTCTTCCCATACTGATAAACTTCTGGTTAATGATTGATGTGACTTTTTTCCTTTTTATACGGTTCCTTTTGCAGCATCGATGTTGTAAGGTAATTCAAATATAATCAGTTAAATAGACTTCAGCATTCATTTAGTTGTTTAAGCGTAAAACGAGATGAAAAGCTGTTTACACACATGCGCCTGTCAGAATTAGCAGGCTAGCGCAGAAGCACCATTAAATATATGGGGGTAAAATAGACATGACAAGGAAAAATGGAATTTAATGCAGTGCCTATACATTCTGATACCCAATTTGTATCGTCTATCACTCTGGCAGTGGAGATCACTGATTTTTAAAGAAAAAAGACCTTAAATGGGCCAATTTTGTAACGGCACACAGTTCACCGGAAGCGATTGTTAAAGTTAACTGACAAATTAAAAGTCTTTCCGCATACTTATGCATATACCCTATCACTGTGATAATGGTATCGAATGCTGCTTTGTTTATGCTGGAAGTTTGGTTTTCCTTTACGGATTGAGAAAACACTCTATTCGGTCGGCTTTCTTCTGTTTGGTGTGTTCACATGCAGCTTTTTGGTCCAGACACATTCCCAACATGAGGCGACAACACAGTTGGGTATCGATGATGCTAGTTGATTGGCATCGCCTTGGTGTGTCCCAGGCCTAATGCTGCTTTACACTACTGGTCGTTTCTGATACTTTGGCTGCATGAGATTCAATTGTTGTTTCTGGAGTGTCAGAGTAGTGTGTATCAGCATTGTCTTTACACCTGGAAAATAGTAGCTCATTTGCATTAAAGGGACATGCATTAAATCAGTGTGTTTTATCTCAAACCCAAATACATGCAAATTTAACAAGCTATAACAAATTACCTATAGGGTTTTTTAAAGCTGAAACTTCAAAGACACATTCCTGGAAGACTGGAGATTTGTTTTACTTCTTATGAAAAGGCCATATTATGTCCTCTTTAATATACCCCACCCACTTTTTAGTCAGAGATTAAGAATTGGGGGCAAGGAGGGAAATAAATAAATAAATAAAGGTGGCAGTTAATCTCGCTTAGTGCAGTGTGAATGCTGAGCAGTGCTGTGGCCTGACAAACATCTGCCTCACACACAGTTGAGCGGGATCAGCTAAAGCGATTAGCGCGCTCACGTCAGCCTGTGGAGACGGTGCCCGTTACAAAAGCCAGAACACCAGCCTTTCCTCCCACTATCCACCTGGAACACTGACACTGCGGTGAGAGGCCCCTCTCCGGCAGAACCAGAACCACGCTTTTTCAATCCGCAGACGCTCTTCTGTTTGTTTTCCCCCTCTCCTTTAGAACAAAAGCAATATGTAGCACAAGGATCGAACAATCTGTCAGTGTACAAAAGCAGATGCTTATCACAGCTAGAGTTGTATCTGAATGCTCTTAATTAGCATGTATGTAATGAAATATGCCGTTCATTAAGGCGCAATTGTAATTTTACACTTGCTTTGTACAGAACTAGAGGCTTCCTTGATGTGATGGCAGGCGACCTTTTACATTGTTGTGCATAAAGGGAGACTGCATCCTGCACATGTTCTTACAGTTAACCTCATTAAAGCAAAGGAGGGGTGATACTTCCTGAAAAGGGGTCTCTTGTTCACTTTTGTCTCTTTTGTTTTCGGTTCTTCTGCATTTCATTTCTGTTTCTTGTCCATTTAACTGTAAACAATCTTATTAACCTGCATGTTTATCTTGCTTCCCAGTATAATAGCCAAATATATAACTAATAAAAATCTTTTTTTTTTTTTAACTGTAAATTGTTAGTTGGCTTTGATGGATTACATTTTTGTCACTGTATTTGGAAAAATCCATTAGCTGATTGCATAGCATTCATTGTTTATTGTTGTAAATATGTTAATTATGATTTCATTTTACTGCAGACAGGAAAAAATATATTTATTGCCTTTTTTAAAATCATAATCTCTTCTCTATTCTCTTCTTTTATAGCCATGACCTGTTCATCTTTTATATTCAGTCTTCTCTCTCCATTTTCTTCTCTTTTTTTCTTCTCCTTTTAATCTTGACGTCCAAATTCGAGTGTCCCCAGCCGTAGCGAAGGCAGCATTGCTCTGTATGAGGTTGACTTGGTTCTTCTCCCTCATTTTTCATCAGTATTGTGACTTGCCTTTACCTTGTGTGGCTTCT